CAATCCAATATGTCAACTTGAAATGTGTGACTTTTGATATGCCAAATTGCTTGATCAATATAATATGGCTGACTTTAAATGTACTGGTAACTTAATTAACGTCATTTAGTATGTCATTAGATGATATTTAGTTGGTATATTCCGTACAATATGATTAATTGATTAACTGTGTAAACCAATTTACACTTACTGTCTTGGTTATTATGCCCTTTCTTTTACAAAGAGGATAGAGTTTCCGCCCTTACTAGTCCTTTAAGGGCCCAAAAAAAATAAAAAGAAAAAGGAAATAATAAATTAATCAACCGTGTGAACATGTCTACAAATTATATACCCAGGTCTTAAGTTCCAGCTAGCTGCGAACTAAATTGTATGTATATACATGTATGTATTGGTCGGCCGGCTACATAAATATAAAAAATATAGACATAGATACATATATGGGAGAGGGTCGTTGAAATTTGATATGTAAATTAGTAAATATTAGTTTTTTAATTTCATTACATATGTGTCAATATATCGTTTTCATGGAAATTCTATCTTGTGTTTTCACAAACAACTCCCACCTTCTTTTTTTTTTTTCTCTACTAACTAGCTGCTGGGAATTTCTTTCTGTTTATACATGTTAGGGATCTGGACGGGAATTGCTTCTATAATCCTCACACTTAATTTTTTTTTTTAATGCAGCATATGGATTAATACGTATATATAATTAATTAATCAGATAAATATATAGCATTATTCCCAAAGTAATTACTATTTAAATCATGGGCGAGACAAGTTAATATAAAATCAAAGTGGATTTTATTGATTGGTTGTTAGCCTCCATTTGGTGAACATGCAACCACTATGTCAACGTCTAAAACAAGGAATTTTAATTAAAAGTAGAAAATAATTAAAATTTAGTTTAGGATAAAGTTGATATAAGAATCAATTACCCTTCTGAAATTAATTAAGAACTTCTATTGTGCTTGGAAAGAGTTAATAGATTGTAATTTTTTATAGAAAAATATATATATATGTATAGCATTAATCATTTGGCAGCCACATATTAATAATAATATAATTTCATATCGTAAATATACGTAACATGCACAATTTATAATTAGAACTCACTCTCTTCTTTAAAAAAAGTACAATTATGTACTTATGATCTAGTCGCAAATATACAAAATTTGAGAAAATATGTCATCTAATAAATTAATAATTTATCTTTATTATATTGAAATATTTTATCATTAAATAATAAAAATTATGTCATACAGTTGATAAATATACTAAATTCTATAATTGCAAATAATATAAAAAAATAATTTTATTGTATGTACGGCTGATATCTTTCGAAACAAAGAGACCATAGTAAGAAGGAGGGAGTTGGGATGTTTCCTCGTACCAACTGGGTGGATAGATAAAGCATATTGATGTAAGTATTGTCCTTTTAACTTTTTGTTTTTTGGTAAAAGAAAACTAAATGGAGTTCTTAGAGTGATTGATTGGATTTAAATGTTGTATCCCCATAATAAAAGACTACGTAGCTATACCCAGTTAGTAATTTGATCGAAATTCTTGATTTCCATGATTAACTAATCAGTAAATTCCACGTTAAGGACAAACTATCAACAATGTTGTCTATGAAAAAATATTGACAGTGATTATAAACAATAACATATATATATATATATATATTATATAACAATTATCATTAGAAATAATAACATAGTTAGATGTTTGAATAAGAAATGCTCAAATATTCGTCTGTCACCAAGTAAGAAATATCTATACAAGTTTAAAACGTAGCTGTTACTTGCTTGAATAAAAAGATGTTAAATCATAAAATACTATTTTATTTTTTTAAGTATCAATAATTTAATAAAAACACATAATCTCATTAACTAGTTCGGTATAATGAAAAATTAAAAGCTACCTTACATTCACTGATTTTACTGTTAGATTTCAAGTTTATTTTCATCTGTAAATATAACTCATACTATATATTTTATCACGTACTGTATCATGTGTTATTTTTTTATTGAATGTATTAGTTTCAATCACATTTAAAAAAAATATTATTTACTTACCTGTTAGATGTTAGAAAATAAGGAGAAAATATCAACAATGTTATGGAAAAAATTAGACAGTGACAACAACATATATATAAATGACAGTGAGAATAAACAATAGCATATATATATATATATATGCATATGCATATAGTATAAATGACAACAAAGCAATTTGCAGAGGCGTTGACCCACGAATGTAGACGCAATAAAGAAAAAAGAAGAAATTAATAAAATGAAAACGGAAGAGCATATGCTGTAGTAGATACCGGAGTTGAAATTTCTGGGCACTCAGAGTGTTAGCTTTTAAATACTCGACCAATACTCTCTTCTGTCTCTCCATCCCCAACAAAATCATCTCCTCCACTTCTCTCCCTCCTTCATCACCAATTAACTCAACAACCAGGTAAGTTTCTTTTCCTTTCTCTGAGTTAATTATGGAAATATAGGTAAACGTATTTGTATATGGCGCTTGATTGCATGCAAATGGGTTTTGTTTTGTTTGGGATTGTAAGAAGAACAATTAGAACCTCTTGGAAATTAAAGTAGATCGCAAGTGGAATCTCTCCTATTCATCACTTTTTTTCTTTTAAGAAAAATATAAAGTTATAACGATTGTTGTTTGTAGGTTTCTTTTCATTTGTTAACTCAAAGGATGATGATCAGAATCCATAATTCCATCACTCTCTCTCTCTCTTTCTCGCTCTCTTTTTCTCTCTTTCTCTTTTTTTTTCTTTTCTTTTCTTTTCTTTTTTTTTTTTTTTTTTTGCTTTCTCTGAAAAAATTGCATGCACGTACGTATTCACTTCTTTGTTTTTAACTTCACTGTCTCCTTCTAACTAATAAAGCCATTCTAATCACCTTCTCTTTTATAAGCGCACACACACATATATATCTGTCCATTTATACATGACTCTTCCTTATCTTTGGCCAATTTATCTACCTCCTTAAATATATATATATATATATGCATGAATTTAGTCTACGAACATACACTAATATGTTTTCCAAGTGTATATCATGCATCATTTTCCACACAGGTATACAATATTGAAATAATCAAGATAAACAAGAAGACCATGAAAAAAATTAGTTTTGAGTATATAGATGTCGCACATGGGGCGGAGTGCCCAGAAAACAAGCAAATTAGAACTAGCTTTGCTTAGCAAATAATATTTTTTTATCGAGGACTTTAATTCAACAAACGATAAGGATTCTTTTTTGTACCAATATAATATTTCAGTTCATTCCTAAATTATAATATTGAATTAAAATATATTAAACCATAAAAATAAGAAATTATAAAAGATGGTTGTTGATCCATCAATTCCATCATCATAGGTAAGCAAATTTTAAAAAGAGAAAATATCCTAAAAGAAAACTGAAACGGCTCTTTTGTATATGTATATGTATATGTATATAGTATTCTCCGTGTTTAATAATTTGTGAAATTGTGAATCAATTTTTAACACGTAAGAAGTTTAGTTTAGAAGTCCATATGTCATCGTCCAACAAAAAATGAGTAAATTAGCCATAGATTTCCAGTCCTGCTAGTTTTAAAATTAATCTAACTTATTTCTTAATATTTTGAATACATAGAAGACTAGATTACTCTAATTTGACCGACTAAAATGCTCTTTTGCTTTGGTTAAGAGCACTCTATTTTCATTACTTTTTATAAAAAATTTTCCAAAAAAATCATTTGTGCTTTAAGATTTTTTAAGATTCCTTCTTTTATATCCAGAACTTCTTTTTTTTTAATAATTCGGAATTTAACCTTTAAAATTATAGTAACATTTAATGGCTTAATCGTACAAATATCCGTAGGTGGTCCCTGGAGGGAGACAATTACGAAATTTTAAGAATGGCAGGACAGCTAGGAGTGCTTAATGCACTGGATGTAGCCAAGACGCAATGGTACCATTTCACGGCCATCGTCATTGCCGGAATGGGTTTCTTCACCGACGCATACGATCTCTTCTGCATCTCCCTCGTCACCAAACTCCTTGGCCGCATATATTACCACAAGGACGGTGCGCCAAAACCAGGCACCTTACCTCCAAATGTCTCAGCCGCCGTCACTGGCGTGGCCTTTTGTGGAACTCTAGCCGGCCAGCTCTTCTTCGGCTGGTTAGGTGACAAAATGGGACGCAAGAAAGTTTATGGCATTACCCTTATTCTCATGGTTGTATGCTCTCTTGCTTCCGGACTTTCCTTTGGGAGCTCTGCAAAGGGTGTCATGGCCACTCTCTGTTTCTTCAGGTTCTGGTTAGGTTTCGGCATTGGTGGCGACTACCCTCTTTCCGCTACCATCATGTCTGAATATGCCAACAAGAAGACTCGAGGAGCGTTTATATCTGCCGTTTTTGCCATGCAAGGGTTTGGGATTTTGGCTGGTGGGATTGTGGCTCTCATCGTCTCAGCTTCCTTTGATCATGCTTTCAAAGCACCAACCTACGAGCAAGACCCTATAAAATCGACTGTGCCTGAAGCTGATTTTCTCTGGCGTATAGTTCTCATGTTTGGTGCTATCCCTGCGGCTTTGACTTATTACTGGCGAATGAAAATGCCGGAAACTGCCCGTTATACAGCTCTCGTTGCTAAAAATGCCAAACAAGCAGCTGCAGATATGTCCAAAGTCTTGAATGTTGATCTTGAAGCGGAGGAAGAAAAAGTAGCCAAGATAACTATAGATCCAAAAAACTCTTATGGATTATTCACTAGACAATTCTTGAAGAGACATGGGCTTCACTTGCTTGGCACCACGTCAACCTGGTTCTTGCTTGACATTGCATTTTACAGCCAAAATCTTTTCCAGAAAGATATCTTCACCGGCATCGGTTGGATTCCTCCGGCAGCCACCATGAACGCTGTTCATGAAGTTTACAAGATTGCAAAGGCACAAACTCTAATTGCCCTTTGCAGTACCGTACCCGGATACTGGTTCACCGTGGCTTTTATAGATATCATAGGAAGATTCACGATTCAATTGATGGGTTTCTTCTTCATGTCAGTTTTCATGTTTGCCCTGGCTATACCATACAAACACTGGACAGAGAAAGAAAATAGAATTGGGTTTGTCGCAATGTACTCGTTGACCTTCTTCTTTGCCAATTTCGGACCCAATGCTACCACATTTGTTGTGCCGGCGGAAATTTTTCCGGCAAGGATCCGGTCAACTTGCCACGGGATATCGGCGGCCGCCGGGAAGGCTGGGGCCATTGTGGGTGCGTTTGGTTTCTTGTACGCTGCGCAGAGCAAGGACCCAACAAAGACAGAAGCCGGTTACCCTCCTGGGATTGGGATTAAGAACTCCCTCATCATGCTGGGTTGTATCAATCTGGCCGGCATGTTATTTACTCTGTTGGTGCCGGAATCCAAGGGTAAATCACTTGAAGAGTTGACTGGTGAGAATGAAGAAGTCAATGAGGAGACCCAGAAGGAGGAAGCTCCTAACAGGACAGTTCCTGTTTGACTTTTGACAAACCCTACATACTGCTCATTATCTACTGCTTCTTCTTTCGAGTTTTAATTGTCACAAATTCATCCTCTTCCAATACTTTGGTGTTATGTGTTCATATATATATATATATATAATGTGAGACTAATTTCTTATATATTTGAATTTTGTCCAAAAATATTCAAATTTCCTCGTAACTAAAATTTCCAGATTTTCAATTAAATTGTATTTGCGTGTTAATATTGTCCAAAACTAATTAGAAAATAACTTATGTGACAATTAAAAATTCTAGAACTTATAAGAAGCAAGAAATCAAAAATTAAAATTCAATTCTCTTATAACTAGAATCCAAATTTATAATTGAAAATATTAATTATATCTTATTATACACCAGAATTAAATATAATTATTTAAAAAAATTAAAATAATTACGGTATTCTTCTAATTAAATTGAACTGCATCAAGATAAATCAATCCAAAGAAAAATTAATATGACTCAATCCAGTTCACTTGAAGTCCTTTGGTGTCTTCTATTAGATCGAACTTTTTAATTGTTTTTCAACGAAATGGTAATACGATTCGAAAATTTTTGATGATATGATCAAATCGAAGTAGATTAAGGCAAACTAGTCCAAACAAAACCTAATAAAATTTAGTCTAGTTCATTTGTAGTCTCTTGGTACTTTCTATTAGATTTGATTTTTTAGTTATTTTTCAACGATGCAGTGATATAATGCAAAAAATTTTGAAAATATGATTAAATAAAGTAAATCAAAAGAAATAAATCCAAACAAAAATTAATATAATTCACTCTAATTCACTTGTAGTCTCTTGCTACCTTCATTTTAATTGGACCTTTTAGTTATTTTTCAACAAGATTGTAATATAATACAAAATTTTTTAAAGATACGATTAAATCAAACTCGATAGAAGCAAACCAACCCAAACAAAAATTAATTTGATTCAATCCACTCCACTTATAGTCTCTTGGCACCTTCTCTTATATTGTACTTTTTAGTTGCTTTTTAATGAGGTAGTGATATGACAATTTTTTGAATATGTAATTAAAAGAAACAAATCAAGGCAAATCAATCTAAACAAAGATTAATACGATCCAGTCCAGTTCACTTGTAGTCTCTTGGCACTTTGTGTTATATTCGACTTTTTATTATTTTTCAACAAGATACTGATATGATACAAAAATCTTTGAAATTATGATTAAATTAAATTGAATTAATACAAATTAATCTAAATAAAAATTAATATGATTCAATCCAGTCTATTTATAATTTCTTCGCACTTTCTGTTAAATTTAACTTTTTAGTTTATTTTAACGAGGTGGTGATATGATACAAAAATCTTTAAAGATATGATTAAATCAAAGTAGATCAAGGCAAATCAATCCAAACAAAAAGTAATATGATTCAATTCAGTTCACTTATAGTATTTTGGCGCACTTCTGTTATATTAGACTTTTTAATTACTTCAACAAGGTGGTGATATGATACAAAAAATTTTGAAAATATGATCAATCAAAGCAGGTCAAAGCAAAACAATCCACAAAAATTAATATGATACAATCCAATTCACTCTCAATCTCTTGGCACCTCCTATAATTTGGAAACATCTCACCATTGTTTAGGACAATGTGATTCACACTCAACATTTCTGAATAAAATTGATGCTAAAATTTTTATACAATTTAAAATTTATATTATATTTTTGTATTATTTTTCGTAATTTTTATAAAATAATATATTGTTTAAAAAAATTCATGAATTTTATAATTTTATGGCTGTGAAGAATGTGTTCAGTTTTTAAGATTTTAAAACTTCAAAAATTACATAAAATATTTTTTGACATACTCTTAGTATTTCAAAAGGAGGTGTACACTACGATATATATTTTGTACTAAAATATAATTTTTTAATTTGTTTAAATTAAATTTAAAAATACTATTTTGAGAAAATTTTTAACACACTCGTAAGAAATAAGTTGGTTACCCCTTAAAAGTGTCGAGGATAGTAAGGTTGGATGCATAACATTAATGAGTATAATTTTAACTTGTTTTGATGAATAAAAAGATTATGTTATTTTAGGTGATAATTTAGTTTAATTAATTAGAGTTCTTCTTTTAATTGGATCGTAATTGCTAACCAGGTAAGTGACTTCTACTCCTTAGCGGTGCTTTTAGTTTCGAACAATATATAACTATATATAATTATATTTACATATAAATATATTGTTGTTAATGAGTCTCAAATTTTATTACTGTACATATGAATGCATATTTGAAAACTTAAAAATGTTATTTTGCAATAGATGCTTTATTAAATTTTACTTCAAAAAAGATAGAATTATTAATTGACCTACTTCCTAAAATTCAAATTATTTTTAGAATTTAACCTATTATAAATTTGTGAGTTATTATATTTTTTGTAAATTTAAAAATTATACAACGAGAATATTGTTGTATTTTTATTCATTATAGAAAGTAACATAGAGAGTTAAAATTTTCTCAAATGAATGATAACAACTTAAATTATGAATAATGAAATATTATAATCTACGGATATTAGTGTGTGGAATTTGTGATTCTCCCAATAGAAGTTAAACATTGTATATCGTGATTTTGCTAATGGAGATTAAATATTAATTAATAATTTATCAAACTGTAAATAGAATATTATTATTTTACGTATAGAGATAAATATTGAATATTATTTATTGATCATGTTAACACAGAGTAGCATGCTATTTTTGATTTCATGATTTATGTCGATAAGGTTAAGCATGACCTTAATTTATATCAAAGAAAATCATTTCTTATACACAAAGGTGCATTTTGTTAAATTTTAAATACTGAAATATATATATATATATTTTAATTGTGATCTTCTATAAGATTTCATAAGGAATATATGAATTGAAGCTCAGAAAAATCTATTTAAGCATCAAGATTTTGTTAAATTATATGCATTGTTTTTCTTTCAATAACCAACTACAAACTATTAGCCACTAATAGATTTTCAAGCTCAAATTATTATCCTTCTTTTCTAGATTTAGAACAAGAAACTCATGCACAAGACTCTGGAGTGTACTCGTTAAAGTTTGATATTAATTATCTAGTTACCTTTAGGACGTCCCTGTTCATGTGGCTTTGGATTTTTAGGTTTTTTTAATTTCTATTCATTATAGGATAACATGTTTCAAATTTTGAAATAAAGAAACTTCAATATGTGAAGAATTATTTTGGATTTTAAAAATAAATTTTATTTTATAATAAGTGTTCTATTTGTGTTCATTATTATTAACCTTACACGTTTATGAGTTATTATCGTGAATATATAGCATTATAATGTGTCTAACACTCAAATTTTAAGAGTTAATTTAATAATTTTTTAAAAAAATATGACAATATATGTGACTATAAAATAAAATAAAACCCTATTCAGATTAAAATTGAAATTAGCAAAATATTTATATATATATATATATATATGGGTAATATGACTTATAAGTTAGCAGAAAAGAATTAAGATTAGACAGAAATAATAAGATAACAGCGAAATGGTAAAACAAAGTAATGCACCCACTAAATATTCTCTCACTATCTTTTTAATTTGAAAATTTGTACAAATAAATAAATAAATATAATACTATAATTTTGTCAAAATTAATTTTGATTTTTTTGTTACTATTATTATTACTACCATTCCCCTTATTTTAATTTTTATATTTTATTTTTAGTGTATTTTATGAAAAAAAAAAATAGAAAATAGAAAAAGGAAAGAAGAGAAAAAAGAAAAAGAAAGAGGAAGAGGGAGAATAGGGGGTTTTAACTGGTTTGGGTTAGGCCTAGCAACAAGGAAAGAAGGATGCGAAGAGCCCAAGCAGAAGAAAAAGGAAAGACGCCCAGCCCAAACCAGTGCAATTCTGAATCTAGACGCCAGCGGAAACTTAAACGTCGTCGTTTTAGTAAAAGTAGTGCAACGACATCGTTTCATTGAGGCGAAAGCAACAGAAACCCCAAGTTGGTTTGAATTCTGGGTTCTATATTTTCAGTTTCGCGTATAGTTCCATTTCAATTTGAATTTGATTTGTGGTAGGAAAAAAGATATTCCAATAGTTTTTAATTGGTTTGATAATATAAAAACAGTAATCTATTCATATATTAATTATTTATTAAAGAAATTTTTTTGACTATTCTAATATAGATCCTGAAATTATTTCAAAGAAAATTTTGATCATTATTTTAATATATATATATATATATATTTATATACTGAAACCATTTCAAGAAAAATTGGACTGTATAATATTTGCACTTGAAGATTAAGTTTTTAACTAGTTAAAAATTAAAATGTACTTATACTCTTTTATCAAGAAAAAAACAAAAGTATCTAAAAAAATAAATATATCACATATAAAAAAATGTTATTTGATATTGTATGTTATCTAGAAATGACATATTCAAATGATAAGTGGTAATCGTATTTGTAATACCCTTAATTAATATTTAAAATTAATATATAAATATAATTTTTAAATTTTTATTTAATGTATAAAATTTAATTTTAAATTTTATAAATTATTAATTAATGTAAAAATGAAGAAAATTAAATGAATAATGAAATTGAAAAAAATTTTAGAAAAAATTGGTGAAAATTTGTATTCTGTAGATATTTTTGAAAGAAAATTCAAAAACTGATGGTCGAAACGCAATTTAAAAAAATTGTACCACATAGGATGCCCAGTCAGCAGTCTCGACAAACCGAAGCACATCGCATGACAAAACACGCTGACGCGGTGCCACGCGGGAGGTCACACAGGCGATCCCCGTGCCCGCGATCAGATGGTCCAAATTCGTTCGCGTGCACAAACAGTCCGAATCCATTTCCTCATCAGACGCGATCGAATGGCCATGATTAAATGCGATGAATGGTTCAAATCCACTACCTATTTAAATACGATCAGACGGCTCAAATTAAATTGCGATAAATGGTCTAAATTCACTCCATATTTAATCGCGATCGTACGATTCAGATCAAACGCAATAGACAGTTCAGATTAAAAAGGAACGGATATAAATAACTCTCTTCACACCAAATCCTAACTCTAGCTGCCAGACTCCCTCGCCCCTCCTCCGGCCGGAGAAGAAGACTCAGCTGCTGGAAAGGAAGCCAACCGCGGGCGCTGCTGCGCTGAAGCCACTTTCGACCGCCAAAAGAGGTAAAAAAAAATTTCTTTACTTGAAATTTGATTTTAAACACTTCCATGGTCAAATCGTAGTAAAAGGACTGGCGGATTAGCCGAAAATCGCAGGTAAAGTCCGGCGTTGCCGCCGTGAAAAAATAAAAAAAGCCTCCGATGAGGCCATTTCCGATTCCCGTTCTTCGTAATTCTTTCACCATTATAATTATTGTTTTCTTCTCTACATGTTGACCAAAGTAAAACACTCAACTACAAAGGTGAGCCGGCGGAGCCACCGTACCGGAGAACCCCATCACCGGTGAGTTTCGATTTTTTGATTTTTTTTCGGTCAACCGATATCCCTTAACGTGTTTTCTCGCATAGATTGATATAAAATCAGCCGAATTCGGCCAAAAAAAGTCGATCCAAGGTAAAATATCGTCGCAGACGACAATGCCGTCATCGGAGCACGGCGGAGCCGCCGTCCTAGAATTCTAGAATTTTTCAAAAAGGGATCGTAACACTGATTTTAGATTTTTTGGGATATTTTTTGGTACTTGAAGCTCGTTTTAATTCCCGAAGAAAAATTTAGGGAACTTGGTGACCGCCAGCAGACGCAGTCAACAAGTTTAGCACTTCGGGCATCAATTTGAGGAAGAATCCATAACCTTATTCTCTATTATAAAATTAAAATCTAATTAATAATAATACGGTATTTTGTATAATTTAAAAAATATTCATAGTTATTCACTGTTGATCATGTTGACTGATTTTTACAGTTTGAATGCATGATAATACCTTATTGATTGATTTTATAATTTGAATACATGTATTCTTTGCTTTATGTGATTACGGTTGAATTGAAAAACTGAAAATTAAAAGTAATTAAAAAATTATTTGATTAAGTGAATAGATAAAACAACAGCTTTACTGGATATTCTGGGAGATGGTGGACAAACCGGGTACATAAGAAATCCTACCGTGGATGTTGCCTCATACTGAATGGGGTATCGAGATTTGGTAATTTGGTGCTCATACTGGACGGGATATGGGGACGACCCGTTTTACCCTTATACCGGACGAGATATCGAGATTTAGTAATTTGGCGCTCATACTGGACGTGTTATGGGAACAACCCGTTAATTGAAAATATTAAAGGAAAAGGGTTCACACGTTATGGAGACATACCTATGAACCCCCATAGATACCAGTAGGATGATAAAAGAGAAAATTATTGTTCCAACTGATTGTATATAAAATTATGATATGTGTTATATTGTTGCCTCTTATAAGTTATTTTTGTAAATCTCGTTATGTTAAGTATACGATAAATAATTTTATTTATGATAAACGATTTTGCTTAATTAAGATATTCATTAGTTGTTTTTATAATTTTTACCAACTTTCATTTTTATGTCAGTGAGTAGCACGATATTCTTATTGAGCTAGTGTAACTCATTTTTTCATTAACCATTTCAAATTATAAAAACCAGGATCTACCGTCCGATCCACAAAAGAATTGCGAGTAGAACGTTCAGTTTGTTTATTTTAATTTATTTACTTAATTATTAGTCATTATTTTAGAATAGTTATTCTTGTAAATTCTATTTAATTTTTTTAATTATTATGTAAAAAATGTATACCGTAATTATTTATTTCACTTCTGCACTAAATTTATAATTTATTTTCTTTGGAATTTCTGGGGTCGTTATAATATTGATAACTTCAGTAGTATCTAAAGCAAAAAATATTTGACAGCGTCATCACCATAAGACTAAAAAAAAAGAATAAAATTAAAAAAGAAAATTAAAATATGGGTAATGTGGCCAATAAATTTGTAACAGAGAAATAATAAGAGCAGAAATAGCAATAAGAACCGTAGAAGAAAGAAAAGGTAAAAAAAAAGAATATACTTTGTAAATATTCTCCCTCTTTCCTTAATTTCCTAATTAATTAAAATTGTAAAATTAATTATTAGGAGGTAAAGAGAGGGTCTGCTGCAGTTAAATACGGACCCAGCCCGTCTCTCTTCTCCCCATTCCTCCTCTTCATCATTCTTTCAACTCTTTCTTTTCCATTTTTGTCTCTGCATCTCCTCCCACTTCCTCTTCTTTTTCCATTAGGTTGCTGCACTTATTTTGCTTTTACTATTCCAATTTTCTCTGCTCTACAAACTCTATCTTCCCTGGTATGCTTTGCTATCTATGCTTAATTCTTCTCTTTTATATTAATCCATCAAATATACAGCTTACTCATATATATCTGCATGAATGAATAGTGTACTTAAATCTGTATTTCGTTTTCTTCTGGGTTTAGTTCTGAGAAAGCGGATCATTTTGTAGATGCAGATTAGTTTACTTTACAGATCAGTTCTCTTTTGTTCATAAGTTTCCTCTTGCGTCTATCTCTAGCTAGCTAGTGCTCTTGAGTATATTATAACAAATCTGTAAAGAATCTGCATGCGTTTTTTTTTTAGATCACCTGGTTAATTTTTCAACATACGTTAAATTACATGTTTTTGGAATTTTCAGGTAGAGTTGGTAAAAAAAAGTTGATAGAAGATGCCAAACGATCAATTGCAAGTGCTTAACGCGCTGGATGTTGCCAAGACACAATGGTATCATTTTACGGCGATTATAATCGCCGGAATGGGATTCTTCACCGATGCATATGATTTGTTTTGCATCTCTCTCGTCACCAAAATACTTGGCCGCATATATTACCACAAAGATGGTTCTGATCATCCCGGATCTCTTCCTTCCAACGTAGCCGCTGCCGTAAACGGCGTCGCATTCTGCGGTACGCTCGCCGGCCAACTCTTCTTCGGTTGGCTCGGTGACAAAATGGGAAGAAAAAAAGTCTACGGCATGACACTTATGCTGATGGTTATTTGCTCGGTTGGCTCTGGTCTGTCCTTGGGAAAAGACTCTACGGCAGTGATGGCAACACTGTGTTTCTTTCGTTTTTGGCTTGGTTTCGGCATCGGCGGCGACTACCCTCTTTCTGCGACAATCATGTCTGAGTACGCAAACAAGAAGACTCGCGGTGCTTTTATTGCAGCTGTGTTTGCCATGCAAGGTTTTGGGATTCTGGCTGGAGGGATGGTTGCTATTGTCGTTTCTGCAATATTTGATCACAGGTTTCCTGCTCCGGCTTATGAAGTTGATCCCATTTTATCAACACCTCCGGAGTCTGATTTTGTTTGGAGGATAATCTTGATGTTTGGTGCCCTCCCGGCATTGCTGACATATTACTGGCGGATGAAAATGCCGGAAACTGCACGTTTTACAGCCTTGGTTGCGAAGAATGCTAAACAGGCTGCAGCAGATATGTCGAAAGTTCTTCAGGTTGAGTTAGAGTCAGAACAGGAGAAACTTGATCAGCATACCAGAAATGAATATGGGTTATTCTCGTCGGAGTTTCTCCAGCGACATGGACTTCATATGTTGGGTACTACAAGCACTTGGTTCTTGTTAGACATTGCGTTCTACAGTCAAAATCTTTTTCAAAAAGATATTTTCAGTGCTATCGGATGGATTCCCAACGCAAAAACCATGAATGCCGTTGGAGAGGTTTTCAAGATTTCTAGAGCACAGACTCTGATTGCTCTTTGCAGTACAGTTCCCGGTTATTGGTTCACGGTTGCATTTATTGATAAAATGGGAAGATTCAAAATTCAATTAATGGGTTTTTTCTTCATGACAGTTTTCATGTTTGCATTGGCCATTCCTTATAATCACTGGACATTGCCGGACAATAGAATTGGGTTTGTGGTCATGTATTCCTTCACTTTCTTCTTCGCGAATTTTGGTCCAAATGCGACGACGTTTGTGGTGCCTGCTGAGATATTCCCTGCAAGGCTGAGATCAACCTGCCATGGGATATCGGCCGCGTGGGGAAAGCTTGGAGCAATTGTGGGTTCCTTTGGATTTCTGTACGCTGCAAAGTTTATTGGAGTGAAGAAGACGCTGATTAGTCTTGGTGTTGTGAATTTTGCTGGATTGTTGTTCACATTCTTGGTTCCGGAAACGAAGGGAAAATCATTGGAGGAAATGTCTGGTGAAGCGGAGATTGAAAGTGAGAGTGTTCAACAGGGTAGAGCTCCTCCTGCTTAGTTAATTTCTTCTAGGTTGCCATTATCTATCCATTGAAGAAGAAGATGAAGATGATGATGATGATGATCAAGAAATTTTTTGGTATCTGCAGGTTGAGATCGTGTCGTTATGTTTAATAGTCTGCATTATGGATTTAATTAGAAGAAGAGATTGTTTGATTCTGAGTAGAAACTAATGTTAATCCTGCTGATTAATTATGTTTCCAACAGAAAACCATTCACTTGATGGTCGCTTAATCACAAAATTCTTAATATATATGACAAGCTGAAGATCAGAGAATTCTAAAATGATCTAATTTTCTAAACAGAAAATAGTTTTGGCATGATGATGTTATTAATTTTAGTTGAAGTAGCTGTGTAACCTCACTTTTTAAAAATATAAAATCACCAATATATATAATATACTCAAAAAAAACGATATATGACATATTTTTTCATTTTTTAAAATAAAAATACTTATTAATATTAATTATAACTATATATTATATAAAGATACAATTTTAAATATTATTTATTCATATTTTAAAATATAAAAAAGAAATTAATTTAATGATATATATAATAATAGTCAACTTGAATTTTCAAATATAAAAATAGAATTTAAATTTTAACTGATTACAAAATTATAGTTTTAAATACCTAAATAATTTTAATAATGTAATTCGTTTGGGATTTCAAGGCAGTTTTTTGCAAAGCAAGCATTAATATATATTATAATACAAAGAATTTCATCCAATCAATTTTAAGTGCATTAACATCACGTGTGGTTATATTCCTATTTCCTTTTCATATTATTATTTATTCGGGATCGTTATTTATGACCCAACATTCATAAATTAAATAAATATCTTAGAAATTATAATTTGAGAAGTCTCTAAGTTTTTAATAAATTTGTTTAATTGAATTAGATAAATAATTTTTGTTTTAAACTATTTTTATAACACCTGACTTTTTTATGTAAGATTAAAAAAAAAAAGCCCATATTTTATCTATGAAATAAAAAAACCCAAAAAAATAAAAATAAAACCCTGAAGAGTTATAGTGATACTACGATAATATATTTAAAATTTTATCATTTAAAAAATAATATAAATGTAAAATAGATATTTAGTTAAACCTAAACTATTATGGACACATTTTGTGACAAATTCCACATCCTATAATTAAATTAACTGTAAATTTATAAACAATGTGATAACTCTATTCACCCTTGAAGGGATTACGGTCGTTAATTACCAAATATACAATAGAAATACAAGCAAAACATCATATATTCAAAATATACATCATCTGTCCCTTAACTATATTGTAACACTATTTACAATACATGAAGTTCATAAGATAGAATCAAAAGAAAATAAATACTCATTCAGTTATAAAATATAATTTTTATCATAGGTGTTCATATAGTTCCTTCTTGATCCGGTTCAAGGGTAGGATCCTCCTGATCAAAAACTGAATCTTCTTGATATAGAAAAGATGATAATTTAATAGGATGAACAATTTTAATGCACTCAATAAATATAAGAAATAGGATACAGACAAACAATCCATTAGAGATTATGAAACTTTTCTTTTTCTTTTTATTTAAAAATTATGAGATGCAAAGGTATTCAATTTTTTATTTCACCCCTCATTAACCCCCTAACTTTCATTTAATTCTCAAATTCTCCCTAAGTCTAGGTTTCATCCCTCCTAATTCCCCCTAGGTTTAATTTATCCCCAAAATTCCCTCTAAATTCATTTTACCCCCAATTTTCCCTCAAGCCATATTCTTTTTTTCCTCAAAATTATCACTAGAATTTTTTACAATTCACGGCCAAATCGAGACATCCATAACCTTTTATAGGTATCTCTTATTCTCATTTTGTCTCAACTCAATTACCTAGTTAAAGTTATTAAAATTTTAGAGTTTTATTTGATATTAACGGATGTATCTATTCTCTAGTTGGTATCATTGCGATATCAGGATTTTTACTATCACGAGAGAATGTACACACAGATAATACATATACATTGATCATAGCATTTCGTCACCAAGTGACCCAGAACATAAAACACATTCCAACAACCTTTAAAAGAATTTTCATTCACTCAAAGATAGGGTTTACCACATAGCTAAATTTTAGTCATACCACTCTTAAATTAGTTATCTCTAAGTTTTCGCTTCTTCCATTCTTTGCATTATTTTCTTTTCTTCCTATTTTAATTAAGATTAGTACTTTATTTTATTTTATCAAATAGATTTAAATTTCTAGCCATTGCTACTCTTTTCTCTTTCTAATTTAGTCTCCTTATTTTAATTAGGTTATAAGTAGCTTTATTTGTTAATTTTAGTTTTCTTTTATCTGGTTTTTGGTAATTTTTTGTGAATTTATTTTATTATATATGTATATTTGTTTGTTTATTAATATTATTTTTTATTTTAATTTTTTCTAATTTTTTTCTAATTAACTTCCAATTTTTCTAATTTTTCCACATTCTTCCCAACTTCACTCACTAATTATTTTTAAATTTCACTCCCTAATTATTTCTAAATTCATCATTCTATTTCAATTTTCTTTTATTCTAACTTGTGATTTACACCAATCTTTATTTAATCATCATACCATACATTTGTACAATTTAATTCAAGCAAATGAATTTAAATCATATAATTATTTAAAAATAAATCCATTTAGAAAACTAGTTCTTCAATCAGTTCACCAATCAATCTTTAAAAGCAAATATCTTTCATTTAACTTCATAAAATTTGTTAAACTTATTGCTACGGAGGCTTCGGGTTATCTATTAATTACACTTACAATTTCAAGATGGTTAGGAAGTGATTTGAGCTCCAAAAATGTCCCCATATCTGAGAAAAAATCTACAAGAAAAAATTATTTATCGGGTCAGTGATAAACCCGCAACTTTCATGCCATTTTTATGGATGCATGGCTCAATTATGGCTTAATTTGAACTTCAAAGATGTTCAACTACATGTAAGCTATCTCTAGAGTATTTGATTTAATTAAAGCAGAAAGAAAAACTCTAAAAAATTACTCACAAAAAAGCTGGTTTGATCACACTGGAGGGAGAGTCAGGTTGCCAGAAAACCTGATAGGTTTTCGTGATTTTCGGGTTATGGTGGTCGCGAACCGCCTTTTTCCCAGTGATATGCCTTCGCTGACGATCTCTGCCTCTTTTTCTCTCATTTTTCTCCTTTCTTCTATCGAGAATGATGGACTTCAGCCTCCCCTTCTCTTTTTCTCTCTTTTTTTTCTTCTTTTCTTTTTTTTTTATTCTCTTTTTTTTTCTTTCTTTCCTTCCCGATCGGGTTGGGTTGAGTGGCTTAGAGGCCTTTTAAATCTAGCCTCGGACGCACGTGGGCCACACAATGGTGCGTAGCCGCATGAGAGGCGTTAGATCTAACTCTATTAATGACAATTTCATAATTTATCTTCACAGCAATATCAACTGTTAGATCGTGATCCCCTTTAGATCTGGGTTGTTCATTTGCGTGACCATAGGAATTTCCTTAGAACACATACAGGTCATCCGATCGTCATGTTGCATGTGGACTATTAGATCGCAATCATTATCTTGGCACGCTTGGGAGCCGTCTGATTCAATCCTTAAGTTCATCACCATTAGATCAACCCCAAATGCGCAGGACTGTCTGATAGATGACCACCAAGGCCCATGTGGCTGATCGCGCGACATCCCCCCATTGGTCCGTTGTCACATCACTAATGGAGGTGGTGAATGTTTCAAAAATTACAGAATGACCCAAATTTTGTATTTTATTTGCATTTTATCCCCTAAATCAATTTATAGAATTATAAAGGGTCATAAATAAATTTAATTTTGTTCAATTTAGTCCCTAGTTTTATTTTTTGCATATTTAGGAGTGAATTTTAATTTTATGAAATTATTCTTGGGTTTTGTTTTATACATAACAAAATTTAACACGAAATTTACACTAATAATTACTTAATTTTTCCATGTGGTGTTACAAACGAAATTTGCTCATCCTAAAGAATATATTAATAGCTCTATTTATTCATTCTAATAATGTAGGGCTTTGTAAATAGTATTTTCTTAAAAAAGAATATATTAATATTTCAACTAATTCTTTAATTTTCTCACTGATAGAATCTTTAAATGGTGACTAAAATATTAATTTCTATTCATAATTGCATATAGGTAAACACACTTTAAAATTGACATTAAATGTATGTGTTCAACCTTGTATTCTTGGTTAATTACTTTTTTTTTTTACTTTTGAGACTAATCTCGGTTAAATCCAATTTGATCCGGTCTTGGACCACTAAATACCCATTGTATTTGACACTTGAGCCCAAGTTGTTTGTGTAACGGCCCCGGAAATATAAAATAAAATGTGTATTAAAAATATCAAATGCGGAAGCGAAGTCAAAATTTCGATTAACATCCCTTACACTAAAACCAAAAACGTGCTCACAAAATATAAAAAATCAAACTAACTAAATGAGAAACTCGAAAATAAAAGCTATGAATATGACTATGGAGTCTTTAGGCGTTCCCTTCGTCGTCCTCCTGCGGAACGGGCTCGGGAACAATGTCTTCCTGATCTGAAATGATTAAATAAGGAATGAGCTACACTAGCCCAGTAAAGACATCACGATATCTCACTGTCACGGAGGTAAAGGTAGGTAGAAAACACAAAAAGACCAATGGAGCATAATTTACAACAAATCCTTTTATCAATAATAAATCCTTTACCATCCACTTACCTCGGTGAAATTCATAAAACAATATACAAAAGCAATAACAATATCATCATCATGAAATCATATAAACTGTAGAACATAATACTTATCACGCCTTTTGTAATTCAATCATTACACAACATATTTTCCTCATTTACCAGCCCACTAGTATCCATGGGGATCCATAGGGGTCCCGCTACCCGTTAACCCTTAACACTTGAAATCAGATTCCAGGGCCGTCCCCATACCCCGTCCAGTATGGGCGCCAAAACTATAAACCTCATTACCCCGTCCGGTATGAGGGTGAAACGGGCCGTCCCCATACCCCGTCCGGTATGGACGCCAAAACACATAAGGTCTCCATACCCCGTCCGGTATGAGAGACCACAATCCCGGTAGGGTTCCCTAAGGACCCGGTCCGTCCACCATCTCCCAGGATATCTAGTCAGGCTGACCACATTATACAATTATCAATTTACATAATCTTTCATTCTCCTTTTCCTTAGTCAGCATCATCAATTTATATACAAATAAGCAAACAGTAATTTATGCCAAACAAGACAACATACAGCATCGGTTTCTCAGTCATTCAACCCATAATCAATAAAACAGTAAAATATGCACGCGAAACAATAAAATGAAAACATCAGACCTCATACTGCATTTAAAACTGTAAAATATGCCAAATAACAGTTAACTGACAAACACACTAGACTCGGGCTCCATTAGCGACCTTAAGTAATTTCACACATTCGTTGATTCAAGAAATACCGTTTTATCATTATTGAACTTTAATACCGTGATAGGAAATAGGGTGAGGGGTCCTTACTCGTTTCGGGGTCCGAACACGGTTTCACAGTGCGCCTACAGGCTGTCCCTAATTTCCCTGAATTTTTTCCGGGGAACTGAAACGCACTATCGGTACCTGCACGTGTTCCAAAAAATCCCAAATTAGGCCCAGGGCCCCTTTTTGGCCAATATCGCAATTCTGGCACGGCGGCTCCGTTGTGCTCCGGTGACGGCTCTCCGGTGAGGTTCGTGTTTTGGTGATTCGGCTCTGATCAACCTGTAGAGAAAAGAATGGTGATCACAATGATATAAAAATTGCATCAAACGGATGCCGGAAAGGGCCTCATCGGAGGCAAAAATTGAGGAGGGACACGGCGCCGCCGCTGGGTTTCGGCCGTGTTTTCCGGTCGTTTGGCCGGGATTTTGGCTCCGATTTGGCCACGGAGGAAATCAGCGTAGAAAAATGAGTCGGGGGTATGAAATTTACCTCAATCAGCGGTCCAAAATCTCCCCGGTGCGGCGGCGGGTGGCGGCGGCCTGCTTCTCCGGCGTCTGGTTCGTCTTCTCCGGCGAGGGCAGGCGGCTAGGATTTTTGTGGTCAGGTGTGGGGGTTCTATTTATACTCTTTTGCCTTTTGATCTCAGCCGTCCATTTTGATTTAATCTGGGCCGTCCATTTTTGATTGAATCTGGGCCGTCCGTGCGATTGCATCTGGGCCGTCCGTGCACACGCTTGATCTAGGCAGTCCGATCGTGCGTACGCGGATCGCCAACGTGGCCCTTCCCCGGTCGACGTAGTCTTGCCACGTGGCAGGTCCTGGTTGGCCAAGACTGCTGACTGGGTCTGCTGACGTGGCTGCTGACGTGACGCTCTTTTTTTTTAACTTAATAAAAATAATTAATAATAAAATAACCAAAATTTCCCAATTTTCCGGGCGTTACAGTTTGGGGTACCAAGATCTATTTTCATCATTCTAATTGCAGAACTCAGTTCTTGATATTATGTTTGAATAAAAAATAATTTTGAAAGAAAAAAAATAATAGTTTTTAAAAAATAAAACAAATATATATAATAAGTTAAATTTAGTTCAAAATGATATATTATACAAAAATTTTAATATCCATCTAAAGTAAAAAAAAAAAAAAAGAGAGAGAAGAAATGTAAATAAAAAATAAAATTGGAGTTAGGATGTAAATGAAATGATTTTTCAAAATTAGGGGGCTTTTGGTTAATTTAAGGGACTTAAATAAAATAAATGATAAAAAAGAAGGGGTAAAAGTATAAATAAAGAGAAGTGAAAGGGGACAAAAAATAAAGAGATGTCTGATGTTTTCATTTCATAGTTTCGTGTGCATATATAACTGTTCTATTGATTATGGGCTGAATGACTGAGAACCCGATGTACTGTGTTGTCTTGTTTGGCATAAACTACTGGTTTGCATGTTTGTGTGTGATTTGATGATGGTGACTGAGGAAAAAAGGAATAAAAGGTTACGTGAATTGATGAATGGATAATGTGGACAGCCTGACTAGATATCCTGGGAGATGGTGGACGGATAGGGTCCGTAGGGAACCCTACCTTGAACGTGGCCTCTCATACCGGATGGGGTATGGAGACCTTCTGTGTTTTGGCGCCCATACCGGACTGGGTATGGGACGGTCCGTTTCACCCTCATACCGGACGGGGTATTGAGGTTCATGGTTTTGGCACCCATACCGGACGGGGAATGGGGACGGCTCTGGAATCAGGTTATAAATATTTAGGGTTCACGGGTAACGGGACCCCTATGGATCCCCATGGATACTAGTAGGCTGGTAAATGGGGAAAATGTATTGTTTAATGATTGAAATGCAAAGGCGTGGTAAGTATTTTGTTATACAATTCATATGATTTCATGATGATGATAATGTTATTGCTTTCATATGTTGTTTTATGAACCTCACCGAGGTAAGTGGACAGTAAAGGTTTTTATGTTAATAAACGAGTTTATTATAAATCATGCTCCATGGGTCTTTTGTGTTTTCTACCCACCTTTACTTCTGTGGCGGTGAGATAGTGTGATGTCTTTACTGGGCTGGTGTAGCTCACTCCTTATTTAACCATTTCAGATCAGGAAGACGTTGTTTCCGAGCCCGTTCCGCAGGAAGACGGCGAAGGGGACGCCTAAGGACTCCGTAGTTATATTTATAGTTCTTATTTTCGAGTATCTCTTTTAGTTAGTTTGTTCTTTTATACTTTGAACACGTTTTTGGTTTTAGTGTAAGGGATATTAATCAAAATTTTTATTACGCTTCCACATTTGATATTTTTAATACACATATTTCATTTTAAATTTCGGGGGCCGTTACATTTGTGCAGCGTAATTGATTACTAATCAACAAAATTGCTTTTAGGCAATGGGTCTCACTGTGCGCTTTACTTCCAATAATTGTATTCTAAGTTTAGATTACGCTTTTATTCACCTTAATAAACCATATATTTTTCAGAAAATAGATTTATAGAATTACCAACTTAGCCCTTTCAACCTCTTGCTTTCTTCTTCTTCTCTTGTCTCTTCTGTAAGGAACCTCACCAATCACATCTCCTCTGTTCAGCATACGTCCTCGTTTTCCCTAGTCCAACATATCTCCTCTGACTTACATAGAATCAATAATTGGGAATTTAAACCCATTCCTCAATTGGAGTTTGAAATCATACACACATATATTTCCAATATTCTAGCAGAATAAAACTTCAATTACATCATTTTAATGTCATTGCTATAACAACAAACATAAACAAATCTACTGAACTCTGCTTTTACTATCTCCATCTTCAAGCTTACAAAAACTCGCTTTTAATTTTACTCTTAAAAAAAGGGGGGGAGAAAAAAAATAAAATACTCTGCACCGCCTTGGAAATTCATTTTCCAAACATGGCCTATCATCCCCCTATACAAAATATAGCCGCTTAATATGCCTGAATATTCTTTCATCAAGGGAAGACTTGAGATGATGTCATCCATGGATGTTCTGCAAATACATGAAATAAATTAGCCCGTGTCTGTTGAATTAAGGAAGAAATCAAATTTAGAATCTCATGATAAAAATAAAAGAAAGGGAAAATTGTGCTTACGTAAGACTTGATCGGCAGACAACCTTCTAGAAACGTCCTTGCAGAGCATTCTCCGCATCAGATCCTTGGCGCCCCCCGATACCGACTTGAACACCCCAATCGGAAATCTCAAATTGGCTCTCAGAACCGCTTCGAACGTCTCTACCGTCGACTCCCCGAAGAATGGCGGGAATCCCGCCAGCATAATGTACATAATCACACCGGCGCTCCACACATCCACCTTCTCCCCGTATTCCCTTCCGGCCAGCACTTCCGGCGCCACGTAGTACGGCGTCCCCACTATGCCTCTCATCGACGCCGCTTCCCCTTCCACGAACGCCTCTGCCGAGCCGAAGTCCGCCAGCTTCACCACCTCCCTCGAGTCGAACATCACGTTTTCCGGTTTCACATCGCGATGCACGACACCGAGCCGGTGAATGTGGGCGATCGCGTCCATCAGTTGCGACATGATCGCTCTGCAATCTGCCTCGGAGAAAGTCCCGCGCGTCACGATGCGGTGGTGCAGGTCGTGAGAGGAACAGAGGTCTAGGACCATATGAAGGCAGGAATCATCTTCGTAGACGCGGTGGAGGCTGATCACATGAGGATGCGTGGAGACGAGGTGGAGAATCTTCGGCTCGGTGAGTAGACAACGGGAGTCAAGGGAATCTCCGGTGAGGAGTAAGCGTTTCTTGTCAATGGATTTGACGGCAAAAGAATCGCCGGTATGTTTGGAGATGCAGCGGAAAACGACGCCGAATCGTCCTCGACCGACCTCCTCGCAGAGCTGGTAGTCTCTTTTCAACGCTTCAGTCATCAGTTATTTGTGAATGTTTGTTTAAGCGCAGCGAAATACAGGGGGGGGTGATGAGAGGCTGGGCGTTTAAATAAGGAAGGAATGTAAACGGAATATCCGAGCATGTTTCGGAGATACTATAACCACCGTTCGATCACGTGCTTGAGTAAATCACCGTAATGCCCTCCGCTTAAAAAGTGACGTTGATAGCTGGACATCCGTACCCCCGTACCGGTGTTTTTTTTTTTTTTTGACAGTTAGATTAGGATACGTACGCCTGGGGTTACTTTTTCATTTAAAAATTATACAAGTAGTAAAATAATTAAGAATATATTTATAATATAAAATTATTATTATTAAAGATAACATCTATAATATAAAAATTGTTTAATATAATTGTTTCTAGAGTTTTAAACATTATTTTTTATTGAATTTACTTTTAAAAGAGAAGAAAAATAAGAAATTAGAAAATAAAAGCGTGATAACCTTATCGATAAGCAAACGTAAGGTGGGAAGCAAGTGAAGAGACATGTTTGGCAGTTTATGTCAGTTAGTTAGCGGCGGCGGCGGCAGCAGCAGCAGCAGCAGAAGTGGCTTCTTCAATTCATGAAAAGTCAGATATCATGTGAACCATGCACGCGGAAAATTCGAACTCCAACCCACCCCACTTAGCTTCTGCTCTTATATACGTGTAACACATTTATAACAAAGGGAAAAAAGCAAAGTGGAGCTTCAAGATTCGTAAAAGCTTGCTACTCTGTAGTTTCTTTTCTGTTTATGATGGTGTTTGGTTTAACTTTTGTGGTTAAATACGTTTAAGCATATTTTAATTCAAAGAAATATACAAAAGTGTTTATGAATTGAAAAAGGTTATTATTTAATCAATTTGGATTTCAATACTGACTTTTGGAGAAGAGAAAAGAAAAGGTCCAGATTTGATTTGATTTGATTTGATTTTCAATAGGACCCATTGCAAACACAACAAGGAGGTGCTTTCAAGTTCAGACCACTCAATTTTTTCAAACGCTACAAAACCTTCTCAAATAAATATCTCCCACTTATTTTTTGTTTCATTACTTTGTCAATCCAAGAATTTCTAGAAAATATTTTACAAATATTTGAGAAGTTTCCTAATCTTATAAAACAAATTTCCACATATTCATTCGTGTGAAAAGCCATGATAAATGAACACAATATTTATAATATTATTCAAAAGAATTCAAAATTTGCAATTTTATATTTCTTTTTAAACATTTCTTTAGTATAATTAAGATATTGTTTAGTTTCACTTTTTTCTTTAAAAGTTTACATTTAATCATAAAAAAATTTAATCACACTACAAAAAATAAAAATATGTACAAAAGAAAATACAAGAACAAAAACACAAAATTTTACATAGAAAATTCTAAAATTTTAAAAAGGAAAAAGTTATGAACAAAACTTTGAATCAAAATCTACTATCGAGAAAAATTAGTAAGTACAAAAAAATTCTAAATTTATCTCAAACTTGAATTTTATAATCAAGCAATATCAAATTTATCTTCCTAACTAACATCCTACAAAATTTTTATGTTTTATAAATAAATATTAGAAAAATAACTTTTCATATATCTTTAAACAATAAAATACCTATTTATTTTTTAGAAGACCCAAAGATCTAATCAATGAATAAAAAAATTATAATGCCTTTTTCTTTAATTTTCAAGCACCTACACACACACACACACATATACAACTACAATTGTAGGTGAATGATGACTCTAATTGCCGGTTCAAGTTTGTGATATGAGACGAGGAAAATGCTGAAGAGAAGAGGAGAATAATGAAGAAATCTTAGTTTTGAATATATATATATATGTAGTTTTTAATGTATAAATAATTCAAGTAAATATAGGATAAAGTAAGTAAATGTGTTACTCATAACTCTTTTTTTTTTTTTTTTTTTTTAATTTACCCACCTCTAACATAATAAGTAAAAGTGAATTTGTAGATAGTTTGTCCCAATTATCATCTCTGGTCTTTGCAGTAAGGACAAGAATTAGTATTAGTAGGTAAAAGTGAATAGTTTATTCAATGTTTTTCTTTTGCATGGAAATGTCAATTTTTTAATAAAAAAATTATATAATGTAAAGGTAGATACATTAGCTTATTCAAATTACTGATGAGGCAAATTTATTTTTTCTTGCATCTTCCAAGTAGTTTCCACCAAAATTCTTTCCTGTTCTAATTAATGGATTACATTCTCTTTCATTTATTTTTTATTTTTTCCAAGCGAAGACATTAATTATTATCAAATATCGTTTTGTTTTGAAAAGAATTTCTTTAGCTATTTTTATATAAATACAAATATCTTAGCTAATTAATCACTAATATATTCTAATTAATAACCTTGGTGTCATCTGTTTTTTCATAACTAAAAATACTTAACTAATTATATACCCATACATTTTTTGTAACGTTCTGAATCCCAAAAATGAAGCGCAGGCATATTTATCACTTTTTTATCTGATAGATCCACAAAATATGCTTATACACAATTTAAAAAATTAAAATAAAATCTAACATCTCATATGATATACACAATACTTATATACATAAAATAAAATCAAAATATAGAGTTTAACAAAACGACACGATAACTCAAACTATGAACAAAATATATACTGATTAGGACACCTTCACGTGTCTGTCATTCGTCCGGTAACTATTCTAATTATTTTTGCTCTAAAAATTATCATGATGAAATTTAATGAACTTCGGATGTCATTTCTAAAATTTTATCGTGCAATACCGTTATATATTGTAACACCCAAAAAAACTTTATTTTTATTTTAGTAAGGAATTTTATTTGATTTGATTTTATTTATTTATTAATTTATAAGGTTGTAATTTAATTTAGTTTAATTTAATTTATGAGAAATAAAAATAATAATAATGATAAAAATGGGTAAAATTATTTTTGGGAATTAATTGAAAATGATTTTGGGAAAAATTGGTGAAAATTTGGATTATGGGAGTGTTTTTTAAAAAAAAATCGAAAATCGGGGGTTAAAACGCAATTTAGAAAAGTTGTGCTACGTCAGCAGTCCCGGCCAACCAGGACACGCCGCGTGGCAAGGACGCTGACGTGGGAGGCCACGCGGGACGAAGCCACGTGGGCGATCTGCGTGCACGCGATCGAACAGTCTAGATCTCACGCGTGCGGACGGCCCAGATTGAATCACGCACGGACAGCCCAGATCGCATCGCGATGGACGGCCCAAATTTATTCCCATTTTAATTGCGATCGGACGATCCAGATTAAATCGTGATGGACGGTTGAGATTAAAAGGGGAAGGTTATAAATAACCTTACCCACACCCAACCCCAAATCCTAGCCGCCAATACCCTCACCGGAGAAGAAGACTCAGTCACCGGAGGAGCCGACCGCCACCACCCCCCGCCGCACCGGAGGATTTTTCGACTACCAAACGAGGTAAATTTTTTCCCCTTGACTCCTTTTTCGATGCCGAATCCGCCTATGGCCAAATCGGAGCCAAACTACCTGTCAATTGCCCAGAAAATACTGCCGCGGCTTCCCTCAATTTTTACCTCCGATGAGGCCCTTTCCGGTTCCCGTTTGATGCAATTTTTACACCACTGTGATCATCGTCCTTTTCTCTACAAGTTGACCGGAGCAAAACATCAAATCGCGACTCGCGCCGGAGAAGCCACCGCACCCGAGAGCTCCGCCGACGATAAGTTTCGATTTTTCGTAATTTTTTGGCCCACCGAGGGCCCTAGGGTTGTTTTATCGCAGGAACTAATGCAAGTTTGGCCAAATTCGGCCGAAAACAGCTAACCCGAGGCAGATCGCCGCCGTGGCGGGCGGTAGTGCCGTCGCCGGAGCACGACGGAGCCGTTGTGCTGGAATTCCAAAATTGGCTGAGTAGGCCCTGGGTCTGATTTTGAATTTTTTTCGGGACACGTGTAGGTACCGGAAGTGTGTTTCAGTTACTAGAAAAAAGTTTATGGAATTTAGGAACTGCTCGTAGGCGCAGTGTAAACCCGATTTCAGACTCTTAAACAAGTAAAAATTTCTCACCCTATTTTCTATCACGGTATTAAAGCTCAATAAATGATAAAACGGTGTTTCATAAATTGTGTATAATTAATTAAGGTTGCTAATGGAGCCTGAATCTGATGTATTTTTCGGTCAGTTGTTGTTTGATTTATTTTACAATTTAAAATGCAGTATGATATCTGATATATTTATTTTATGATTTCGTATGTATGAATCACGGTTTCGTTTATTATGGTTTGAATTATTGTGAACCCGTTGTTGTCTTGTTTGGTGTTCATTACTAGTTTACGTGTTTATGTTTTATTGGATAATTGAGACAAAAAAAATAGAAAAAAGTATGTGAATTGATAAATGGATGATGTTGACAGCCTAACTAGATATCCTGAGAGATGGTGGACGGACCGGGTCCGTAGGGAACCCTACCGGGAACGTAGTCTCTTATATCGGACGGGGTATAGAGACCTTATGTGTTTTGGCGCCCATACCGGACTGGGTATGGGGACGGCCCTGAATCAAGTTATCAATGTGAATGGTTCACGTGTAGCGGGGACCCTATGGATCCTCATGGATACTAGTAGGCTGATAAAAGAGAAAAATATGTTATCTGATGATTGAAATGCAAATGTATGATATATCTTATGTTATAAAGTGTGTATGATTTCATGATATTATAATGTTATTATTTTCTTATGTTATTTTCATGAAGCTCACCGAGGTAAGTGGACAGTAAAAGGTTTTATTATTGATAAATGAGTTTA